CAAATTGGATGGCTTTCTTTTTTAATCTTTCTATTGGGAATTTAAAATAAAGACCATTAACTTTTAATATTAAATGCCGCTAGCATTGATTAAAGGGATCAAATTTTGGTGGTGGTGATCGTGTAAATTTCGACTCCATATGAAAATGGATAATTATACTCTTTTTTTGTTTATTGTTTGATTATAAAATAATATTTTTTTCTGTGGACTGCAAAAGAATTCTAGAACCATCTTGTAGCTTTTTGCTTTGCGTAGAAAATAATGTCCCATCCAAAAAATAATTGAGAAAAATATCTATTTGTCTATGATGTGGACAACTAATACGAAATAAACAACTTTTAACATTATACTATATATGCTTGAGTTGTTTACTTTACATATATACAGTGTAAGGCTTAAAAGCTTTACTGGGCTTTGCCTGATTTTATTAAGCCTTATAAGCTCAGTCTGATTTCACATTAAATTTTTTGTTTTACAACAAAGCCCACAGCTTTCACATCCTTCAAAACAAAAACATAAATTTATTCCTTAAGTTTGGCAAAATTGATTTTGTAAGAAAACATTATTTTATTTTTTTCAACTATATATAACTTTTTTTTTTTTATAAATCATAAGATTTTTGAACTTTTGATTCATAATTTCTTCGGTATCCAAAATTAGCTTTTAAATATATCGATTTTAAAGAAAAATTCTTTGTTCTAAAAGAAATTTAAACCCAAGACACAAGAGAACCAAGGCATTTATGCTATCACTAGGCCTTTTTTTTGGGTAAACTATTTCTCTATAGTTATTTACTTATTTTGCAGACAAAAACGATTTTCATATCTTCCTTCTGCTTAAAGTCTTACATAAGTTAAAAACCAAAACAAACTCTGAATATATAACTGTTTTGGTTTAGAAAAAAAAACACAAACTTTTGAGTTTAATTTTAAAATTATTTAAACAAGAATAATCATGAAATTTTATCCATAGAGGAAGAAAAAGATCCGTTTTTTCTTTCCAACGGTCTTTTGACCGGTACTTTTGTCTTCATAAGATCCCTTTTGGAATCCAAAGACATTTTATAATCATTTTACTCTTAGTACCGTTTAAAAGAAAATGATTCATCCGATTCAA